AAAAGTCAAAATGACCATGAAAGGTAAATGTTTTGAATTGATGCAGGACATTGAGGCAGCCATGACAGCACAGCTACAGACACTCAGTTGCATTGTCTAGGACCTAAATAATAATGTTGAAAAGTAGCAACAATAATAGCCATATTTCTCTTTTTCCCAATTTTAATAGGAATGCTTCTCGAACTTCAACATTAAGTGATATACAGTGGTACCTCGGTTCACAAACTTAATTCATTCCACAATTCTGGAAAAGATGGCCACATTTATGTTTAGCACCCTTGCAGAGTTCACAAGCAAAAACAAAATTTTGCTGGATGCTTCTGCTTGTGAACCAAGGTATGCTAGATGTAAATTTAATGTAGTTTGTATCCCACAAGTGACAGTAAACTTTTGTGTGTGTATGAAGCAGCTTCAGTCTCACAGTGTTACAAAACAATTTTAGAATGTTTCCCAATCTTAAATTGCATCCTTTGAAGGAGTCCCTGACAGTAATATGTGAAGATAGCCCTAAGTTTAACATATCCTATCACTCTTTAATGTCCCAAACTGTTTTTCTATTAACCCACAAAGACATAAAAATCCTTCACCCTTGATTAAACTAATCCAGAATTGACCTTCCTTGAGTCATTCCATGTATTATTAGTTTAGTTTATTGTTACATGTACATAGTACATAATGTTTACATTCCTTGTGTGGGGTTGGTACATATACATAAAATATCCTGATTCCTTTTTATTTCATCTCCAGCCCCCGCCCTCCCTCCCCTTCCTGATTTCCCTTCTCTTTGAAAAAGATCTCTCTCCCCACTTCCTATTATCTTTTATTTTGCTCTTTACTTTTACTCTGGGTTTCTCATATAACAGAAACCATGTGATATTTAAGGTTGCATGTCTGATTTATTTCACTTAATGTTATGGTCACAAGGTGCATCCATTTTCCTACAAATGACTCAAATTAATCCTTCTTTCTGGCAGAGTAGTTCTCCAGGGTATGTGAATTTTCTGTATCCATTCATCCATTGATAGACATACAGGTTGCTTCCAAGATTTGGTTGTTATCAATTGTGCTGCTATGTGCATGGGTATCTATGTACAGTATCACTGTGATATGATATCTTTAACCTAGAAGGGAAATAGCTGGGTCAAATGGAATATCTAGTTTCAGCTTTTTAAGGTATCTTTATACTGATCTTTACAGTGGCTGTATTAATTTATATACCCACCAACAGTTACCTAACTCAGGAAGGGAAAGAACTCCACAACACGAAGTACAGTACTCTGAAATAGGAAATTGAAGAGGACATTAGAAAATGGAAAACTGTTCCCTGTTTCTCAATAGACAGCACCAATATAATCAAAATGGCCACACTTTCAAAACAGATACATGGATTTAACACAATCTCAATCAAAATTCCAATGGCACTCTTCACAGAATAGAAGCAATCAATCCTAAAATTCATATGGAACCAGGAGAGACCTAGAACAGCAAAAGCAATGCTGGGTAGCAAGAGCAAAGTGGGAAGCATCACAATCCTGGACCTGAAGTTAGGTTATAAAACTACTGTGATAAAAACAGTATGGCACTGGTACAAAAATATGAGGATCAATGGAACAGCCTAGAAGATGCAAAAACAACCCTAGCTACATTCAACTATTTGCTCTTTGACAAAGGGGTCAAAAACATACACTGGAGGAAAGAAAGCCTCTTTAATAAATGGTATCAGGAAAACTGGCTGTCCATATGGAGAAAATAGAATCTAGACTCATATCTCTCACCATGTGCTAAAATAAAAATGTATCAAAGAACTAAATGTTAAAGCAGAAACCTTTAACCTGATGGAGTCATTCCATTTTCTGTTTCAATTCTGTCACCATTCAGCTCTGCTCAACCTGCTCAAAATGTGTGGGGTCTCCAGAGTGTAAGCACCTCTTGCTCCATCACCCCTTGTTACCTTATTGACTTGAGTTTGGACCCTTTTCAAGAATTCTCTTGAAATATGTCCAGGTGGACCTGGTGGCTCTCTCCTTGAGCCTATAGACTTCTACTCTCCATAACTCACTTCTTTGATATGGCTTTGATAGGACCTGTTGTTTCAGAGGTTGTCTCAAGATAATTCACCCTGTGTGCATAGGTGTCAGTCACTTTCCTTGTCACTGGGACAAAATACCCAATACCCACAACAGAAAGGAGGAGAGGTTTATTTTTGCTCCTGTTTCTGAAGTTTTCATCCTTGCATGGTAGAATGTCCTGGGTAGATGAAAGCTTCTCATGCCAGGCACCCAGAAAGCAGAGAAAGGAGGAGCTAGGGAAGTTGATACACCCTTTAGGGTCATAACCCCAGTGACCCACCTCTTTCAACTGGACCCCACCTCTTAACAGCAAGTCAGCCAATCACCCTCCAAGAGCCCTGCCTGTGAGTGCATGAAGCTCTTGGGGGATGTCTAGATATAAACCAAAGCACCATATGGAATCATGTACCATATGCTTGGCACTGTACTAGAATTTTCTGGGCAATAAACACACAAAAGATACTGCCCTATTTCAAAAATTATTCAGGGCTGGGGATTTAGTTCAGTGGCACCGTGCCTGCCTTGCAAGCACAAGGTCCTGTGTTCAATCCCCGGTACCAAAAAATAATTTATAATAATTTCCTTCACAAATATAAGCAAACCTTGTTTCTGTGACTACAAAATTTCCTGGAGGAGGGGCTTTTGTGAATCAAGTCTAAAGGAGACAGATTAGTATAGAAGATGTGGAAATACGTTTCATTTTGGACTAATTCATCATCATTAGTATCTCCATCTCGACTGCAGTCAGAATTGGATATATATACATTACTACATATCATCTCTTGATTTTGAAGCATTCTCTAGAGGCTAGTTCCACATCATCAGATACTAAGTCACTTACCTTCATCTCTTTTGTTCATATTTTGACAGATGCATCTCCACAGAAAGTCCGTAATTACCAACTAAGTGGCATCCACACCTCTAATTTCTTATCTTTACAAATGCTCATACACACAGTTGTGTCTCAATCACATTAAGAAGTTTCAAGCATGCCGACCCAGTCCTTGGAACTTTAATTGTCAACAAATTCAATTCCAAACTTTGACACTGATGTTTAAGATTCTAGGTACCTTTTCCTACTTCTTTACCTAGCAGATGGCTTTCAATAATCCCATCATATGTAGCTATGTATCTAGTAAAATCCTGAGGTTTGCCTACACTGTTTGATCTATGAGATGTATTAGAACAGCCTTCTCCCTTCTTGTTACTCCAATGCCTAACTCCAAAAATTGTCTGCATTATTTCTGTCTCTCATTAATTCTGCCTTATACTGGAGTTTATAGTTCATTTAAACTATGCATGGCAAATAGATTTTATTGTCTTACTTATATGTAGCCATTTTTCTACCCTTCCCAGATAAGACTGTAAACCCTCTGAGGAAGACAGTGTGAACTGCATCACTAGGATACTTTGTTATGGTGACCATAGTGCCTAAACAGAGAAGGGTCTTTGGGAATTCCTTCTTGATTGTGTTGATCACGCAAATAAACTGAAGTCATTCAAGGTCATAAGTGTACATTGGAGAAATTTCTAATAACAGTTTGTGTCTGTGATCCAGAAGAGAACGTATAAGCCCAGATTTAGTAAACCACAATAGCAATCAGGTTTTCCTACAGATATGCCTAGACCTGTCCTTGCCTATTTTCTCTTTCCTAGAATACATATATAACAGTGCCCTACCTGTATCTTTAGGAAATTACACAACTTCCTTCCTTAGAATTCTCATGTTAATTTTACAAAGAAAAGTACTCATTGGGGGAATCCGTTGTATGTCTTTTCCTCTTAAATTTCAACAATATCAGTAAGAGTTTCTAAAAGAAGGTAAGCTTCTTAAACTTACGATGACTACAAAGACCAGGAGTCAGAAAGGCAGCTTGCACCACCTTTCTTTAAATGTTACTCTGGGTGTTCTCCAGAGATAGTAGACAGAGGATGGACAGTGCCTGACCATTACAGGGCTTTTGTTTTCTTTGTTCTAACTTTTCTTCAGCTCTAGTTCCCACAGCCAAAAATCTGTGCTTTTAGATACCAACAAGAGGGAAATGGTTAAAACGGACTTCTGAGTTTATTGCTTTACTTCAAGTATTTATGAACAGAAAGAAAGAAATTCACAGCAGAAGTGCATTTGGAGAAGGCTAAGAGCAGCAGAAAGGCAGATGACACATTCTGGAATGAGAGCAATCAAGGTTCTATTCAGTCCTTTCCCTCTACCCTGTGTATGTGAATATTTTCCCCTTTGAAACTTCTACACAGTTGCACAGGTGTATTGAATTCACACTGATCCACCAAAAAAAAGCAAGAAAAGTATTCATCTGTCAACAACATCCAGAGATTTCAGCAAATTCTTTAAGAAACAAGGATTAAAAATAATCTGCTAAGGATTATCTCCCACTAACAGGAAAATGGTGATGCTTTTCAGCTGCGAACATCTGTTGATTTATCTATAAAATACTTGAGAAAAAAATTATGCCCAGATCTGTGCCACATAATGGGAAGATGTATGCTGAAGCCAAGAGTCAGTAAAATTTCTGTCAAGGGATAGTAAATATTGCAGGTTTTGTAAGAAATATAATCTCTGTTAGAGCTACTCAATTCTGCCTTGTAGCTAGAAAGCAACCATAGACATTACATAAACAAATGGGCAAGTCTGTGTTCCAATAAAACTTTATTAATCAACAGGCAGTCAAGCTGCAGCCATATTCAGACCCTATCAGCAAAGCTGCAGTCAGGTTCCTAAGCAAGCTGAAATAAGAGGGATATGGTGAAAAGGGCACACATCCAGAAAGTCAGGGATGTTTGCTATGGAATTCTCTCTCTAACCAATATAGGACACCTTGTGGGGAACTGTAGCTGGATCATAGGTTGGGACAAGATGAAGACCAATGTATCATTTAGAGTCCCCAAATAAAGCAAATGGACACTGAGAATAATTCAAGAATAGTTTATTTACAAAGGAATTGTTTACAGAGTTGTGGACAGGCTGAAGGAAAATCATAAGGGGACAGCACAATACCCCAAGGAGGGTTAATAAGAATAGAGACATCCCTACGCCAAGAATGGACGGGGAGATGGGTGATATGTGAATGTTGAAAGAGTCAGTTGAAGCAGACCACCCTGTGAGCCACAGTGACTCTGTGTGAAAGACTATCAGTAGCTGGAGGGGACCTCACAAGGGAGGGAAGCGGAGGAAGTAACTCCCCATTATCTTATGCCTCGCTCCCTCTGATTTCCTGCCAGGATCCTCGCTGGCTGAACCAAACCAGAAGGCAGAGACACAGAAAGCCTGTTGGGGCGCTCCTCACGAGTCAGCCCTCAAGGGTAGAGTGCCAGTGGAGATGGTTGGGAGCAGCCTGAATGGACAGACAGAACTGCAGCCCAAAGGACCTCGAAGCTCATTACAGTAAGTCCATCCTCTGTGAGGAATGCTCTGGTACATCACAGTGGCATCAGATTGATCATCCGCACACTCCCGTTTTTCTCCTGAATGAGATTTCACCACTGTCTACAAGGAAATGAATTGAGCAATTTTCTCTTCCCTGCAGTGTAAGGAGGGCTCTTGCCAACCACTCTCATTTAGCAGATGGTAGGTGACATCAGGAGGTCTGTTTGACTCCTCCTACGGTAAACAGCCCGGGACAAAGGTCACTGGGAGTCAGGAGTTCCCAGCCCTGGCTCTGTGCCTGAGAGAAGTTGCTTCTTTGGGGTCTGAGTTTCACTTTTCTCATCTAAAGAATAAAGTCCTTAGTCCTGATGATGTGTGGTCAGGATTTTTAACCTAGAATTATACTGAAATTAGTTAAAACCTTTGAGAAATTTATGTTTGTGCTCAGGTGCATTTTCTAGTCCGAATAATAAGGGCTCCCTCTCATCAAATACTTACTGCCCCAAAGTACTTAGATGCTGTACTTGGCTTGTCCTCTTTCTCCTCTCTTCCCTCTTTCATCCCCTCCTCCTCCTCCTCTCCTCTCATTTTCTCCCTAGAAAAGCTCACTGAATCCTCTCAACAACAGAACCACCAGGAGTCTTCCGCTTTACCACTGAGTGACTTCCCTGAGACACATGGTCAGGAAGTGACAGAGCTGGGATTCTACCCACTCTCATGGGACAGGCCTTAGAGCAGCATAGGAAGGCCATTTCCTGAAAGGAGGGGGTCTAGGAATTTGGGCACTGAGGCCCTCAACGTTGGCTCATAGAGTGGGGCAGTTTAGGGAAGGATAATTCTGGACTGGGGGAGTCAAGTCTACGAGCCCTGGGGACACAGGAGATACCTCATGGAGGAGAACTGAAGACCAAAAATGTTGAAGCAAAGCATTAGCGCATCCTCTCTCACTGAACACATTTTTCCTGTTAGTCTTCTGTAAGCTTAATTGAACCGTCCGATAAAGGAAGCATTCCCCCATCTTTCTGCAGTAGCTGCAGAAAGCTCTGAAGGAGAAGCTCCTCATGCTAAGCAGAGCACCTGTCCAATAGAAGCAACGGGAAGCTGGGGTTTGGATCCCTGTGACCGGGCTCCATACTGGGGCTGTCACTGTTGCTCAGCCACCCTCCAGAGAGCCTTCGCTGTGAGGCCTTCGCTGCTCTTTGAAAGCTGAGCTGCTCTGTTGCTTATTCCAAATTGGGCAAACCTCTAAAGAGCAACTGTATTTATCCATGAAGCTTCCAAAATATTATAAGACCAAGAGTGGCTTTTCTGACTCAGCCTCTGAGCTTTGGGGGGTGAGGGTAGAACGCTCTGAGCTAACTTGTCTCTTGACCACTAACCTGGTCAGTGATTATCACCTACTATGAGACTCCAGGAACACAATTCCAATAAAAGGAAAGGATTTTGGACATCTCCCTGCAAGGACAATGGGGACTTCAGAGCTCCTCAACCCTGCACCTCAGCTAGGATGTATTGCTGCACAGAGCACAGGCAACAAGGCAGCCAGGCTTATTTCTCATTGTTGGCAAGAACCTTACCAACAGGAAACCTTTGCAGCTCTGTTTGAATCAGATCATGGCTGCAAAATGTTCCATATGGCCTGCCAAGCCCCCAAGATCCCACTTTGTTCTGCCAGAGGATCTCTCTCTGTAGCCCATCAATTGGTGTGAACTCTTTCCTAATGCCCGGCTACAGGAATGAGTTTAGCTTAAGTTGTCTCAGAGCTGTCTGAACCCTGCAGCTGGCTACCACTGCTGAACCAGAAATCTCTGCCTCAGATGTGGGGAATGATGGATTCTGGGGTCTGCCATTTAGGCATTGGGTTGGAACCTTGACTTTGTCCGTCTTGGTCTGGAGCCCCACAGTGAGGAATCAGGTTGATGCAGTATATAAATCTGCTCCTGATTGGGCCTCACAGCCTGTACTGACATCAGCCAGAAATACATTCTTCTTTTGCCCCCACCCCCTGTTCACCCTGCTTCCTCCCAATGATCATCACTTTGAGATGCCTACGAGCTTCATTTCCTCTGTAAACTTTGGCACCAGCTCTTTGCTGTGCTTCTATGGATGGGATTCCACAGATGAGGCTGCCATATAGGCACACCAATAAGGCATTCAAGGTTCTGGGACTTGGCAGTGGCAGAGCCGGGAACAGGCAGGACTCTGAGCCTGTTTTACAGTGACTGGTATGAGGCAAGGTGCTGTGTGTCCCCCTAACTCACACCTGAGGGGGACATTGCTCTTCCTTATCACTGCTGCCACTTGGAAGTTCACTTGGTCTCAGCTTTGAAGAGATTTGTAGCCCAATGTTCTTTCACGACACCGCGCTGACTTAGATTCCTTCCATCCGCTTTGAAGAATGACTTCTTTCAGAATCCATCCTCAGAAAGCTTTCTTCTTATTCAGGAATGAAATTTGTGGATGGCTTACCCTTCTATTTTAATTCTTCCTGCCAAGGCCAGTTTTAATAGAAACTTACAAAATTCAACATCAACAAAGTTCCTTCCAGGTTGTCCATTAAACCAACTTCGTTCATCCACTCTGAGAAGCAGCAGCAATTAGCCTCTCAGAGAAGAGGTCTCATCCTGTAGAGAGTCAGAAAATAGGGGAAAAACAACCCAGAAATTCCATTCCTACAAGAACTCTTGCATATGGGAACCTGGAGAGAGACAGTTTCAAGATTGGTCAACTTAAAGTGTGACTGTGATTTTTTAAAATGAAGCGATTCAATATATATCAACAGTAGTATGGACACATAGGACAGGATGGTCCTACGAAGAATCCTATTCAGTAGTGACAACTGGTGAACTCCAAGTCCAGGCATAAGTGGAGCTGAGCCTCCAAACTTAATAGAGAATGAAAGTCACACACAAATGCAGATAATATGTCCATTAATAATGACACTGAAATATGAAAAACTAGATAAAACAGTATGACCCATTAAATTCATAGGTTGTAAAACTATAAGGCAAAACAAGGGCATGATACATACACTCATCAGGATGGTTGTTCCCATGGGTTTAGGGTGTGACTGAGAAGGGACACACAGGGTCCTTCTTGGGGAAAATGCTCTGTCTTCACTTGGGAGCTGGTGCCAGGTGGTCTGTCTTCTTTAAACTCTATGCCTGTTTTGGCAGGTGCTTTTATATGTGTGTATCTGTTTCATCCTCTACAATGTAAGCCTCATGAAGGCAGACTTTGCCTATTTTGTGTATTGCTGGGCTGTCAATATCAGCAAGTGTGTATCGTATACAGCTAACATTCAATACATAGTTTGAATAATTTAATGAATTAATTAGTTGATGGCTACTTTCTAGTAAAATTGTAATAAGTTAGTGTGTAAAATATTGAAACCATAGGCAGGCATCCATTTGCAATGGAGTCAACGTGACGCTAATGAAAGGCATAATCAGAATGTAGTGAAGTCAGAAGGAAGGGTGTTCACTGTGATCGGGGCCAGCTGGGGAGATGTGAGCTAAGCATTGAGAATAGGAAGGACTGTCTGATTTTCACTCTAACTCATTAAGGTAACTGTCATTTTTACTTCCATCTCACAAATGAGCTCGATACCCCACACTTCGGAGTGAGGTCTTTGATTAGTACATCCATGAGTGAGGAGAGGATGTGCAAGGGGCATTCCACGGAGAGTGTGGGAAGTGGCCCCTGCTGGACTGGGCTTCCCAAGTTCAGTTCTGATGCTACTGAAATCACCCAGGCTCCATTGCTGTATGCTTCTAGCTGAAGCCTTCACATCAGCTGAGGTTAATGGGACCACAAACTCAGGTCTCTGTGTAGACACAGCTGTAGAAACACATAATCTTCAAAGAGAACTCTATTGTGTGTTCCAGAGGGAAATCATCATCATCACCACCAATAGTGGCAACAGTTTTCTCAGACTGGACTCTGTGCTAAGTGCTTTGCATGCACTATTGGATTGCCATAAGAGGAGTGTGAGGTACTGGTCTAAGACTCTGAGGGACTTGCCAAAGATGATACAAACTATAGTGGTTATGGAGGATTCAAGTCCAGGTTAATGAGCTATGGAATCCTCATTCTTCACTACTGTTCCCTACTGCCTCTGGGGCAAGACAATGAAATGAAAGGGTCAGGAATTACCTGGGAAAGTATCCAGTTAAGAACTCTGGATATGGACCTAGTTCTGTGTCCTTGGGCCACCTCCCCAAAATCTATCTCTGTGCCTTCATCCTTTCTATCTGTCCCACATCTGTCCCACATGCTTTCCAGAGAATTCAGGAAAATTTGAGTAGAGCCTCTGAAAGTTTATCACATTAGCAGGTACTAGACTTAGGGCTGCGCTTCTCTTTGTAAGATTAACAGAGATGTGTATTAAATTCTCCTTTGTGAATCCACTGTTTCTCTTCTGCATTGAGTTAAAAATCAGTCACACTTTCATCTTTATTTCTCCTTGAGCTTCTGTTGGCAGTGATTCCCACAGCCTTAGATTTCAGTTTCTTGGTTCCCTTTTCTTCCCACCCCTGGAAGACTAGAGCAGGGAGTTAATGCTCTGTACAGACACACGAGGCACCCTGAAGGTGAATTCATGAGTTTAAAAGATCTGTTTTTATATTTGGGATAAAATTAAGAAGGAAACCAATGCTTTCTAATTTTATTTTATTTTGTAAGTTTGGGTTTTCTTAAAACAGGACTCTTCCTTTCTCAGTCAGAAATTCAAGGCTCATTATACAAATCCTAGCCCCTTCCTTGACCATATCTTTTAAGTCTGAAATGCTTCCTTCCATTAAATTGCTTCCAATTTATACATTGGAAATAGAGCCTGGATAGACTCAGTTATAGCCCTTTCCAAATCGAAATTCATCTGACCTCTACCCTGAACTCGGAACACAACGGGTTCCTTAGCACTGTTTCCTTGTCCTCTGGTGGCTTCCCTGATGTGGCTGGAGGCCAGGGCTATGTAGTTTTCACTATAGTTGAGCTCTTTGGGAACCTCGTGCTCCTTGGAGCAGGGGCTACCATTACTCCAGGCACTCTCCATCTGTGCTCATCATTGTTCTCCTGTGCTGTATCTTGGACTCGCTCTGGCTGCAAGAGCACAAGAGAGTCCTGCATAGAGCAGGCCAAGAGCAGTGGCTGTCCACACCAGCTTCCTTGCTTCCTGGGATGAGACAACTCTGAACTGTGCTCTCTGCTACCTGCCAGAGTTCCCCAGTGGTCCGCACAGCTTTCTGCTCATTGACACATCCTTTACTGGCATCTTTCCCTGTCTGTGCCACATCCCTGCTTTCCCATTTGTGTTTCCTGAGATGCCCCAAATCCTAGCATCAGGACCGTCTTCAAAGGGACCCAGCTATAGATAGCTGAGCTCACAAGAGCTCTCCTGCCCAGCACACAATTAGGCCACCTCTTCACCCCATCTTCGTTCCTCGTTACCCAGGAATCACAAGGATGGCCTTCTTGCTTCTGCACAGAGCTTATTACCAAAATACCCAGACTTCCTGTAGCAGGGGCTGGAACTAAATCACCGTCACCAGGCAGCTTACCGGATGTGTGTAAGTACCTTCTACTCTGCCCCTACAGTTCCCACCACCACCACCCTGCCCCCTGCTCAGGGTGGGCTCACACCCTCAGTAACCTTGATGTGCTTCTAAGGAGTCCATTTCCATCCTGTCTCTGAGATAAAGATTGCTAACTTGGAGTTAAAAAAAAAAAAAAAAGCAGATTTCCTGACACAGCAAGGATTTAAGCTAACCAACCTGTTTATGAAATGGCCCACTGACAAGGAGGGCCACCACTGTAGTTTAAAGGTTTTTTGATGGAAGAGAGAGGAGTTGTATTTTCCCCACAAATAGACAATAAGGACGTGGGGAAAGTCTCCCACGCAGCCAGCTGGACTTTTAGCAAAGTATAAAGCAACTCTTTGTGAAGCTGTCAGATATTTCATTGATCCAGTTAGAAATTTTTTGTTGAGCGCCTGCCACATACTCTGGTAAGCATTAATCTAGGTAATGTGGCTAGAGTAGCAAAAACAAATAATTTTTAAAAACCCAAGTGCATGCCCTTGTGAAGCTTATATTCTGTACCACTTATTACTATATGACAAGTGGCACTAAAACTTAATAAATAGAGGGTCTTCCACAGAAGTATAGTTACTCTCCCATCCCCCTGCCCCAACTCGGTGCTTCATTTACTGCCTAGGCTGTGGATACCCTGGAAGAATCCGGCCTGGAATAGAATTTTTAGTTCACACCACACCACCTGTGTCCTTACAAGAGGCAACAGTGTCTGTCACTTGTGGAAGCATCTTAGAAGGTAACAAGGATATGATGTGGCCCAATTCCCAGGGATGGCGAGAAAGAATGGTTCTGGAGTAGACAAATTAAGATTCAGACTGGGAACTCCAAACTCACCAGGGGCTGGCCAAGAAATGAATAAAGGTCCATGTCCCATCTCCAGAAACTATCACTACCGATGCTACTTGCCTCTACTGTTCATGGTAGAAACAAAATCAGCAAGAAGAAAGGTATCATTCCTTTAGAGCTGCCAGCCCCCAACCTCCCCTGCCAGGCTCCCCCATCAGGATCATGAGACCCTGCCTCAGAAGGAAGCAGGAGAGGGAATGTTATTAAAAGGCAGAATACCAGGACCCTCTTCACATCCTCTGATTCTGAATCTATGGGTTTGGGGCCTAAGATTGCTTATTTTCAGTAGGTTTCTCCAGGCAAGGTTGCAAGTTAAAAATCACATTTAGATGAAAACTTAAATGTAATTCTCATCCTTATCAGCCAAGTAAATTTCTCTCTCATCGGACTGGTAGGAAATCCCAGATTCAAAATTATTGTCTAGGACAGTGATGGCAAAACCTTTAGAGCAACAAACAGCCTGCTGCAGCACACATGCCATAGGTTCACCACCACTGGTCTAGGACATGTCACCAAACAACCTCACTTGCCCCAGAGTAGACTGAAAGCGGGCATTTCTCGGAGGAAGCACTTTTAATAAGCTCTGGAAAACAGCTCACTCTGCAGTCTGTAAGGCCTGCAGCAGCCTCCTGGCTCTCCATATAGAACAGGTTCTGACTAAATTGACTGGGGAGACCCACACATACACTCACCACACACATGCACATGAGGCCACTTGCCAGACTTGGGCCTTTCACAGTGACTGAAATCTCAGAGCATAGGTCTGGGAGAGGAGAGAAAGGAGCCCTGACTTGCTGTATTTCTCACAGCTGAGCAGGTTTTACACAAGCTAGTCTTGTTGAAGGCCCGGACTTGGGCCAAATGGTGTGTGATGCTCAGATGGTGACAGGAGGAGGAGGGGCAGGATGGTGGCAGTGCTGTCCGAAGCCCCACTCCATCTCCTGAGCGGTAGACTTACTTCATTTTTTTCTCCCTCTCTTTTTCTGGCCATTTTTCTTTTCTTTCTCTCCTTTCCTTCCCACTCTTCCTTTTGATTCTGTTTCTTTCTTCTGTGATCTCTCTTCCCTTCCACTATATCTCTCCTTTCTTTTCTCTTCCTCTCTCCTTTTCTGTCTTCCCCTTTTTCCTATTTTTTCTTCTCTCTTCTTCCCCTCACTCTTCCCTTTATTGTTGCAACACAGATTTACCAGATGTCCACTCTGTGCCCAGCCAAGAATTGTGGACAACCCAGTGTTGTAGACCACACTGAAAAGAGAGAAAGACAAGCAAGTGGCCTCCAGGAGCTCTCAACTCATGGGGGAAGGCCAGAGAACAGAGAATTGCAGATCAGTCAGGAGTGGTCAGGCAGAGACACCTAGACTCCATTCATGCTGTGGTTCCAGGAAGTAATGTCTAAGCAGACAGCTGAGACAAGTGGGCAGCTGGAGGACGGATCTCAGCCTGTTCTCTAATGTTAATATAAGTGGCAGCCTGAGTAATTTATGAAGAATAAAGGTTAATCTATCTCACCACTTTGGAGGCTGAGAAGTCCCAGACCATCACACTAGATACGCTTGGCATCTAGTGAGGGTCTTCCTGCTGCATCACAACATGGCAGGGGGCATCACATGGTGAGACAGAGCCACACTGGCTTTTATAACCCATGAGCCTATTCATAATAAGTGGATTAATCCATTAATGATGGCAGAAGATCTTTCACAACCGATTGTTTCTTAAAGGTTCTACCTCCAAATAGTATTAGCATGGGAATTTGGGGATTAAGTTTCTCACACAAGAAATTTGGGGGACACATTCAAACATAGCAAAGAGGTCGTGTATTCAGACTGGGATAATTTAAGAGAAAACCTGGTACCCCTGAGGATACCAGAAAATATGCATGTAAAAAATAATGTGGATTTGATATCAGATACTGACTCTGGCAGTTATAGTGTGCTCTTGACCAAAGGTATAACTTCTCCCAGTCTCGCATTCTTCCTGTCTGACATGAGGTAACAAGCTAATAATCTTTGATACGGAGTATCGGTGCATAAATTGAGCAGAGCAGGGAGTGTGCCCAAAAGATAAAAGAGGCTGTTTTCTCTTTTAGGGTACAATTGTTATTAGGGAAAGTGAGCAAAGGAGACTTACACTTCCTGTTTTTCCATCTTCTTTAAACTCTCTAGAATTAAGCTGTTTCCGTTATGAGGCAGAAGGAAGATTGGAAGGAGACTATATTAAGGATGAAAAATGGCCACAATTTTGATTTTTAAAGCAGGCTCGCTAACAGAATGTGAGTGTGTCCTCAGGATAATTACATAAAAAGTGGCTCTGCAGCTACGTCAGCTGTGTCCTACAAGGGCATGAGCCAGCAGCCACCCTGGACATGGCCCTGCCTTCCTTGCACACAGCAAGTCTCCTATATGGACAGGAATATTGCCCTGAAGTCTTCTACTGTAATTTTTATTTCTGGTATGTTGGGACAAGAATAGTAGAGCAGGAACTTAGGTACCAACTATGTTATTATTGTTATTTTGTTGTTCTTTTTCTTCTTCCTCCTCCCTCCCCTTCTTCATTTTTCCTCATTCACAGATCCAATCATATCCTCAGCTTCTGTTCAGACTCAGGCTCACCAGGTCTGGCATCTGGGATCTCTTCCCTAACCCTTTATCCCTACTGGGTGTATCCAGTACCTCTGCCTTTGATTAGCTTCTTTTCCCTGCCCATGCCCATGAATTGGATTAGATTGCATGGAAATGTTTTGTTTCCCAAATTTCCAGCCAACATTTACCTAGTGATGCCTCATTAGTGTTTAGGGAACAGACTTCAGGATGAGTATTGAGCATCATCATTTATCCTCCATTTCAGACAGAGGCAGTCTGATATATTGCATTCTTTTTCAGTTTTTTCCTTGTAGAATCCAAAGGCTCTTTAAAAACATTTGCATACTTTCCTAAGTAATTCAACTCATTTACCTAGTCAGTGGGGTGATTCACAACCATGACAAAGGTGGTTTCAAGATTTCAGCAGACCCATCAGAACTAAAACCACAGGAAAGTGAGGGATTACTCATTGTCTCTTTCTGCCATGGTTGATGCCAACTATTCCTGATTGGAATAGTTGACTGAACCCCTTGCCCATAGAGCTCTTCAAAGGAAAACAGTAGAAATAGGATTCTGAAATATTTAGAAAAATTAATATATATTGTTATCGTTGACATTTTGAAATGAGTGGATTTCATCTTATTTGCATGGAATAGTCTTGTTTGCAAACAGAGTTGATGAGAAAAAGGCTCTCCCAAACTTTAAGATTGGCGCTATCAGCAAAGGGAGGAATGAAAGTGCTTTTACCCTCCAATGATGACAACTGGTGAGCGAAACACAAGCTAATGATTTGTGGTGGCCTGTCTCCAAGTATGGAGCTATGGCTGGAGACTAATATTAAGTCCCAAAGGCTTGGATGAGCTCCATGAGCACAGAGATGAAGTGGTCTGAAGGATTGTCCTGCTCAACCTCTTCTACTAGAGATGATCAAACCACCTCAGCAAAGTGTCTTTCCCGAATGTCACAGCACACAGTGGTGCTGAGATGAGTCCCCAAGAGATGAGGTCTTTGGCAAAGAACTTCCTTCCACACATAATTGACCGAGTCTTTTATTTCACCGATTCTGCTCTCCTTGAATCCAGAAGATGTGGGTGATATAAGTAGGACCCCACCCACAAAGCCTGAAGTAATGTCCTTACTGTATTTGAGCTAGTCCATGGATCTGAGGAAAACCCCTTGGCTGTGTCTAACAAAACACCTTCCTTGTCTACAAAGAAATAAGCTTAATTCACAGCTCCTGTTTCCTGGGCATTCAGTGCGAGCAGCGAGAGACCATGACTTTCAACATAACCGAAGGGAGCTGACTGAGGAGGAAGGTGCTTTCTTCTATCACAGGTCAGAAATAGGAAGCAGTAAACTGCATAGGTGAGCGAAGTGGGGTGTGGGCCTGTGTGTGTACATGTATGTAAATGTTTAGGCAGAAATAGCACATATCTGATACATGCATGTAGAAAACGCATTAATTTTTATATCGGATAGACTTAGAACCAAATATTGACTTTAGTATTTGCAGTGTGAACAAAGAAGTTAACCTCTCTTAGCCTCACTTTATTTGTGTCTAAAATGAGGACAACCAGCTGCCAATCCCTGTCATAGACCCTTGGTGTGTAGGTTGAGCATGAATGTAAAGTCCTGATGCTCAGTGGATAAAAGAGAGGCCATATTCCCTTTGAAGGGAATGATCATTAAAATCTATACTTCCTGTTTTCACATTTTCTTTAAATTCTCTAGAATTAAGATGTCTTCAATTATGCAATAGAAGAGACTTTACTAAGGATGAAAAATGGCTACAGTTTTGATTTTGAAATTAGGCTTGCAGACAGACTATGAGCATGTTCACAGAATAATTAACAGGAAAGCCAGGAGTGGGGAAATTAATTGCTATGGGTGCAACTACTTTCCAGTGACAATCTTGAGGCTGATGCACAATGAAGTCTTGTTTTCTCAATGAGGTCAGGCAAGGCCTGTGTGAACAAGCTGCCTCCTGCCCTGGGAGAGTGACAGCAAATTCTTGAGATGAGAGTGGCCATTTTAAAACTCCTACCCTGTGCTCAACCTGTCCTGGGTGTTTATGCTTATACCTTTATCAATCTTATCAATTTAAATACTTTATCCATCTTAAAATTAGGTCTAACTAATTCTATTTTGCAGAGGATTTGGAAGCTCAGGCCTGAGAATTTCACTTGCCCAAAGAGGCACATTTGGAAGCCGAGAGCATCCATTAGAGCTGGTGCTCTGCCCTTGTCTGTCTCTGTCTGTCTCTCTCTCTCTGAAAACACCTGCCATGGTGTGGTGGGGTTGGCAGAGGGAGACTTGGGACACTAGGGACCAGGGTCTCACTTTGTGCACACTCATCCCATCTATCCTAGGTTTTACAGCCACCCCGCAGTACTGAGTGACTTTGACAAGTTGCTTGTGTGATGTTCAATTTCCACAAGCAAAATCCACCTTCTGGCAGAATGCTGCTAATGCCTAACTTATTAAGTGGGTAGGAGAGAGTGAGTCAGGAGAGAGAATGAGAGTCAGGAAAGAGAGCATAAAACACAAGTACCAAACTATTTACCCCTCAGAGTCAACTAATCCACCTACCTGGATAAGCTCCCATTTCAGTGGCTTAAAGTGGGTGTATAGTCCTGGCTGGCTTCTCTGAGCATGGAAGGAAGGAGTGGAGCTAAAGGGCCCCATGTAGAGAGATGTGAATGGACATAGGTGCCCAAGGAAATCTGTGGGTCACGTTAATGCCCACCAGGCAGTGCCCATCCTGGAAAAGATTGCAACAGCAAAGAAGACAGCATGTTATCAGTTATTCATTTTAATCAGTTTAACCCTTGTTTACACTTTCAGTTTCTCACAGTAGAGAAACTATTCGGTATTTACACATGTGTGTCCTATTTATTTCACTTAAGAGTATGGCCTCAATATGCATCCATTTAGCTATAAATGACTCTAGTTTTTCATTCTTTATGGCTGAGTAGTACTCCATTTTATTAAAAAAACCCACATTTTCTTTATCCAGTCTCCAGTTGATGGGCACCTGGGCTGTTTCCAAGCTTTAGCTATAACAAATTGTGCTGCTATGAACACGGGAGCACATATATCACTGTGGTATGATTCTTTTAATTCTTTTGGGGAAGATAGCCAGCAGGGGAATAGCTGGGTCAAATGGGACTTCCAGTCCTAGTTCTTTGAGGTATCTCCATACTGATTTCCACAGTGGCTGCACGAGTCTACACTCCCACCAACAATGGAGAAGGGTTCCTTTCTCCCCACACCCCCACCAGCATTTGTTATTTGTTGATTTCTTGATAGCAGCCATTCTTTCTGGGGTGAGGTGGAATCTCAGGGTTGTTTTCATCTGCATCTCTCAAATTAAAATGAATAATTGATAATTTGAAATAGGAAAAAAGGTCCAAAGACAAAGGAGTGAAGGGAGGGGAAGGGGAAAGGAAAAGAAGGAAAGGAAAAACTATGAGAAAAGAAAAAAAAAATGGAAACAAAATCTATGTAAATAGGGAAGGGAGGAGGGGCTGAAGGGTACACAGGTAATGGGAAAAAAACAAGAACCAAGATAGATCATGTACAGGTACAAGCACCCAATGATAAATGTAAATGAATTGTATACCTAAAATGTACCAATAAAATGTACCGATAAAATTAATTAAAAAAGAAAGACAGCATGTCTCAGCCTTTGTCTTCAACTGCTAGAAAACTGTCAGGTCAAGCTCATGAACAGAGAAGAGACTGCAAATGGGGTACAGGTCACCCCGTAACTCACTCTCGTGGTGCTTCCTGTGTCTCCTGTACTGCACGTGCCATGACTGTCATTAAACTTCATCCATGTCCCCAGATGGAGTCTGGGGTGGAAGGTTCTTTCCAGAATGATCATTACTTAGTTTTTCTTTATGTAATAGAGAACCTTCATGAAGGGCAACACAATTGCTTTCCAATTCCAATGGGTCCTAAAAGTCTCAGTCTGAAAGTAAAAACAAATATTAATTAGATTCACGATCTTTGTTTAAAAAGTACAGTTTTGCAGCTCGTAGGCGCTGGAATAGTGAATATTCTCCTTCTTATGACTTCAGAATGCTCTGCCTCTAAGAACTAATGATGTCTTCAGAGATGTGGGTATATGCATGCACCCACAAGTACCGTGCTAATTAAGTAGCTGTATCTGCAAATCAGGCTGCCAGGAACACCACGCAGAAAATGTAACCTGCTCCCCCAAACCTGTAAGATCTGCAACCCCAGATTCCTTTCCCCAACACTGCAGTACCAATGAGTATCTCCACTTGTTCTGATAAATTTCTAGGAAACCAGTCCTGGCACAAGGATAGTGATTTGGAAGAGTGTATGATAAAAGGACAAAAGACAAGGAATTGGGCTGCTGATTGCCTCATACTAAGAAAAGTCTGAATCAACTGGAGAGACTGAGAGAAGGGCTCAAGCCCCTTTATAGTAGCATCGCCTTGAAAGCTACTTTTCCAATGAGTTTTTAGAAGTTATATTTAGTACACAGCTTTATGTTTTTTCTTTCCTGTATTATCTTCCTTTTTCTTTAAAGAACACATTTTATTGGAAATAGAGTATATGTATATACATGCTGAAACATGTATACTTAAGTGTAAAACCCAATAGATTTATTTTTTTGAGACAAAATCTCACTGTATAGCCCAGGTTGGCCTCATAATCCCCCTGCCTCAGCCTTTCCAGTGCTGGGATTACAAGCATATGCTACCACACCTGGCTTCCTAAAAGAACGCAGCTCTAACTCCAAAAGATTAAGTCAGAAATCCTCTCTGTCCTAACTGCCAATCTCTTCCTACTACCCATCTTTTCCTTAAAGGTAACCTCTGACCTGGTTCCCTATTAGAATAGAGAAATCTTGTGAGCCAATCTTTCCATGGAAAACAAGAAAAACTTAATGGGCTTCAAAAATCATTTAAAGCATCAGGGAGCTTCAGGAATAAGGAGGGTTAGTAGCTGTGAAATTTCATGAAGGAAGATATTGCGGGGAGCTAGGATTTAACTTCCTCTTGGAGATTTGCTGATTCTGGGCAGGCCAGAGGTTGAGAATTTGGGCTTGGTCCAGACAGGGCATTGATACTGGGGCAAGTGCAAAGAATAGGATGGGACAGAGCTTGTAGCAGACACAGGAACCTAACTCCTTATTGCCCTTGAGGCAGTATTTCAGTACTCAGTATTTTAGTATTCATAGGAACTCACTGGGATGGAAAGACTTAAGTAGGATGGCTTCAAACTAATGATATTTTTCTCTGAAGATGTTTACTGAATTTTGAAGCTGCATAGAGCAGAAGGAAAAAGGGCTGAACGTGAACTCAGAAAAGCACAGTGAGATTTCTCACAGCTTCTCTGTGCTTTGGAGACAAAGAGCCATTAAGAGAAAGCACCCTAAGAACTAGAGATGGGACTCTTCAATATTTGATGGTTTTAATATTAGAAATTCTACTTTAAATTGTATTTTCATACTCACGTCAGCAGCACATATACTAAATCTTATTTTCCATTGCTCTAATGTTACTATGTAAAAGTACTGTAGATTTTTTATATTAACTTTATACCTACTGAATTTGCCAACTTCACTTCCCTATAGATTTTTCTGACATCTCTACTTTGACTTCCAGTTCAATGTTTGATAGACAAGGTACTAGTATCCATTCTTGTCTCATTTCTGATCACAATGTTTGATATTAAAATTTTGGTACTGGTATTTTGATATTTATTTCATAATTAAATATATTTAACATAAGGCCTTTATAAATATATTATCAAATTATAGAACTCCTTTTCCATTCTTTGTATTAATAATCTTTATTATGAACAGGGGTTGATTTTATAAGTGTCTTTATGGAGATTGTGTTTTTTATTCCCCTATTCTGATAATACGGTAAATTACATTGATTGATAAACTTCATTTGCAAACTTTAGTCTTGAAATAAAAGCAATCACCTGTCTGTACACATAACTGTATGCACACATATATATCACTAGTGTTGATTTGCTAATTTTTAGTTCAGATGTTTCATTTATGCTCCTGGGATTTTCTTGTAGCTTTCTTTTCTACTCCTATTTATGTCAGGTTTTGGAAATCAGCTTTATGTTATTCTCATAAAATAAATTTGGAAATATCATTGTTCTTTTCAATGTTTTATAAGCCTTTATGTAGAATTTCTATTTGTTCTCCTTAGAGATTCAAGAGAATGTACAAAAAAAGATACTTGTACCCAGAAGTTTCTTTGTAGAAGAACTCATTGTAGATTCAGTTCCTTTAAATGATATGGGACCATTCTAATTCTCTATTATTTTTCCGGTTTGGGGGATCAAACTCAGGACCTTGGGCTTGTCAGGCAGGTGCAGCACCACTGAGCAATTTTTTAAAATGTATTTTCAAGGAATTGTCTACTACAGTACATTTTCAAATTTGTAGGCATAGAATTCAAAACATTCTCTGTTCTTTTTAAATGTCTATGTGATCCGCAGTGACTCTCCTTTTTGATATATTTTATTCCCTTCCCTTTTTTTCTAAAGTCTTGCTAGAGACTTGGCAAATTTATTAGCCTTTTCAAGGATTCAATTTTTCTCTTTTGAAATTTTATGTTTGCATTTCATCGATTTTTTCCTTTTTTCCCTTCATCTTCTTTTTGGAATCTATTGACTGTTATCCCTTCTTGAGGTTGATGTTGAGATTTTTCAGCCTTTCTTATTAGCATAAGGGTCTTGGACCTAAAAGTGTTCCTTTAGTCACAGATTTCTCACCATCCTCCAAAGGTTCCTCTGATATATTTTCATTTTTATTTTGAAATATTTTATAACTTTGTGATTTCATTTTCAACACAAGGGTTATTTAAAAATATGGGGCTCAATTTTCAAGTTGTTGGATTTTCTAATATTGTTTTGTTATTGATACTTGGCTTGATCCCAGCATAGTCAGAATGACATTGTTCATTTAAAATATATGAACATTTGCTTTATGTTTCTTCTTGACATCAAATTTTGTTTTCTGAAATCTAACAGAGTGTGTTTTCTGGCAAAGCTGCCAGTGCTGTGCCTGTATCAGTTGGATCAGATCTTTTGAATTATATTTCAGACCATCTATGTCATTATTGAATATTTTCCACCTCTTACTCTAAGTTACTGAATGCTACTTTAATGTGCCCTGCTCTTATTACACTTTTGTCTATTTCTTCTTTTTTCTTGAAAATTGCCTGTCAATTAGTCCTTTTCAATGTACAGAAAATTGAACAGATAATATGGAGAATTCCTATGTAACTCCTCTACTTTTAACGTCTTGATTTAGTATGATACAATTGATGAAGCAATATTATTATTAAAGAAAGTTCATCATTTAGTGTGCACATAGTTATGTAGGTTCCCACAAATGAATGATATCATATGTACACCTCTTCACATGGAATAACTGCACTGCCACATAAATCTCCTGTGCTCCATCACCTCATCTCTCCCCTCCCTCAAAATCCCTGGCAATCACTGTTCATTTTACTATCTCTATACTTTTGTCTTTTCCAGAGCATCATCTATTTGGACTCATACAGTATGTAGATTTTTCAAATTGGCTTCTTTCCACTAGCAGTATGCATTTACGGTGACTCAATGGGTTGTTTTGTTTGTTAACTCATTTTAGCATAGCTAAATATATTCCATTGTACATTTGTTTCTCCATTCATCTACTCAAGAAAATCTTGGTTGCTTCCAGCTTGGGGCAATTATGAATACAAATAATATTGTATGAATAAAGCTGCTATCATGTACAGGTTCTTATGTAGAAGTAAGTTTTCATCTTCTTTGGGTAAATACCTATTAGCACAAATACTGGATTGTATAGTAAACCTATGTTTAGCTTATTTAAAAAATACCAAACTATATTCCAAAATGATTGTATCATTTTTCATTCTCACCAAAAGTGAATGAGAGTTACTTTTGTCCTACATCCTTCCTGGCATTTTGTATCAGTGCTTTGGATTTTAGTCATTCTAATAGGCATGTGGTAGTATCTTGATTTAATTTGCAATTTCCCAGTGAAATATAATATTGAGCATCTTTTTGTATGCTTATTTACAATCTGTATATCCTCTTCAGAAAAGTAATGTGCTCAGATTTTTGCCTATTTTTTAAAATTTAGGTTGTCTTTTGAGTTTCAGCATTATTTATACTTTTCAATGCAAGTCTTATCAGATATGTCCTTTGCAAATATTTTCTCCCAGTCAGTGACTTGCCTTTTAATTCTATAATCTTCTCACACTTTTACCATTTTTGTTTTATATATTTCAAAGTTATACTTTGGGGTGGCTACAAATTTAGAAATTATATATCTTACCTATGGATAGGCCTTTCTATGTATGCCTTATACATATATTTATATGTATATAATTTCTATACTTTTATTTTCATTCTGACTTTATACTCTAGATGTATCTAATCAGCAGCATATAGTTACATCGTATTTTTATCAATCTAACAGTTTTTGTTTTTTCATTGGCCTATTTGTCATTTATATAATGCATTATATCCTATGACATGCATCATTAACATTATACAGTGTAAATACATAATCATATAATTACCGATGCACTTAGATTTATATTTATCATATTTCCTATCAATTTTTTTCTGCTTGTCTTTTTTACATTCTTTATGGTTAACCGAATCTTTGTTTCATAATTTCATTTCCCCCTATATAAGCTTCTGGGTTACGCATTCTTTCATTATTTTTTCCATGGTTATTGTAGAGATTCAAATCACTCTTGGCTTAGTACATTCTAACATAATTACTTTTACCACTTTCTAGATAATGATAGGCCTTTAGAACATTTCTAAATCTCCATGTACTCCCTCCTACTTAATAAGTTACAGTTTTCATCCATATATATGTGTGTGTGTGTATCTATCCACAATATCACTATTGTCAGTCAGCATGTATTTAGATTTGCTTGAGTATTTCTTCTAGAATTTTTAAAAATGATGGAAACAAATATTTATGTTGCTTTTGTTTGTTGAGGTAATGTCCTATTTTCCTGTTCAGTATCTAATCATTTCTTTCCTGGATGTTGAATTCTGGATTGGCAATTTTTTCCCACAATACTTCAGAAAGGTTAGCTTGGTATTCCTAGTTTTTACTGTTTCTATTGAGATGTCAAATGTCATTCTTATTAGTGCTTCTTTAAAGTAACTTTTTTCATAGGCTTTTACTATTTTCACTTTCCTTTAGTTTTCAGCAGTTTTATTGTTTTGTTCCTATATATGTTTTTTATTTAAATCAATCCACTTTAGAGTTAGTGAAGATTCTTGGGCTTATGGTTGGATGTCTTTCATTACTTTCATAAATTCCTTGCCATTCTCTCTTTAAATGTTGCTTTTCTCCCATTTTCTTTTTCCTGCCTTTTTGTGAATCAAATTGTATGAACGTTAGACTCTACAATATGCCCTGTATGTCTTACTCTATTTTTTATACCTTATACTTCATTCTCTCTGCACTTCTGAGTAGAATTTTATTGAAATTCCTTCCAGTTCAGTAATAGAGAATATATTCACCTTAACTTCTTCTCAGATAGCTACAATAGCACCATAATACTTCCAACCAATAAAGGGATTCACTTCAGTAAGGCTCATTTTCAGTCTTTGTAATGCTTGATCGACCTTTGGTTCAACCTCAGTTTTATACTAGAACCCTTGAAGGGTCCCTTGTGAAAATTTTAGGTGCTTTCCAAATCCCTCATCCTTAGACTTGAATTTCAGTTTTTTCTGTCTCTAGAATTAGAACACTGAACGTGCCACTTAAGTGTTCAACCACAATTCTGCTCTGTTCCTTAAGCATAGTTTCAGATTCTCCTCTCCTGTCTTCCTCCCACTCCTTCCCCCTTCCCATTCCTTTTCCCTCCTCTTTCTCCTCTCTCTCTTCCCCATCTCCATTTCCCTTCCCAATCCTAGTTTAAAAATGATAAGTGCCTCAAAGGACTAAGTATCCTAATTTCTGTAAGCTCATCCCTTTAAGTTTTGATAACCTGAGAATCTTCAAATAGACCATATTTTAATAGAATGTGTAATTCTTTCTTGATGTCCACATTGTTTGGCAAAAGTATTATTTCCCAGAGGGCCAGGACAAACTTGTCTTTTGTAGCACCATAATCTGGTGCATGGCATTTGGTTGTACTCAGTAAAAACTGTTATTTAGAAAGAATAAACAAAGGAAAGAAGATAAAACTTTAAAAGTCTCCCCTAGAGAAGCAATAATATAAAAAGAAACTCCAATTATCAAAGATTCTTGAAGCTGAATGTACCTGAGTTGTACATGATTGCCAGACCACCCTGGAGTGGGATCAAGAGTTTCTGAAACTTAACAGTTGCCTCATTTTCCATCCTCCACCTCCTGTATTCCTCTGTCCCCGTGGAAATGTAAATTTTGTATTAGAGGCTCCTGGTCTTATTGGATTCCATGTGGTATTGAGTGAATTGTTAACACAATAATCTAAAGAGGGACTAGGGTGGTGGTTTATGTAAAACAACTATAATATTCAAATTAAAGCTACAAATCAACCATGCAAATGAGCCTGTGCCCAGGGCAGAAATGCAATCAAACAGGCTGCCGAAGGAAACTTAATAAACCCTGCTTTCCTTCTATTACCTTGTGGGTAAGTTTCCTGGGAGTCGGGTCTTATGGGGCACCAAGATAGACAGAAGCTCTAGGCATCCCAGGGCCCTCACAGCAACCACACCAGGACCTGGCAGCATTGTGAAATGCCAGGAAGGGCTGAGCAGTTTGCATCTGTGTATCCATCAGAGGGCATTAAATATGCATCTGATCAAGATAGCAGTTGGGGTTATGAAGCTTCTGTGCAGCTTCTAAATTTGTTTCTATGTACATGCTTTCTGAAATGGCTTCGAGTCTGAAGTCCTCACAAGTGTATTTGTTAGCGAATGGAGACGGCCCAAACAATGACTGTCAACAGCTTAGGTGGAGAATGGGTGCACAGACCAAAGTCAGGATTAGTTACCAGGCAGAACGCAATCCTCCCCAAGAAATTTGATTTATACAATTTGTTAGTGGCCATGGAATCATAGACATCAAGAGACCGTGTGTTGTGATTTGTCCAAGATGGTCTCATTTTAAATCTGTGGTTCCAATATAATTGTTCCTAGCACTCACTTTTATTTTTACAAGTGCCCTGGCTGTGATAACTAATTAATTATATAACCATCCTGCAAAGTAAGCATCATCCAAGTCATTCACCCTTCAGGAAAGTCAAGCACACACTGTGCGGTGCTACAGGATGACTCAGGTCCTCCCCAGATCTATGTTCATTAGTGAGGTCAGTGAGTTTCCTGTATCCGGAATTATTCTGGCAAAGCCCAGATAAGGAGATGAGGTAAAAGAATATTTGGATAGCAGACAGGGGCCCCACTTCATGACTTTGTGGAGTTTCTTCTGTGAGCCTGAAGAAAAACACCCAGAGGGAGAATCACTTCTCAAGTTTCTGCAAGCAGGTGGGCGCTTAGGAAGAACCCAGAGCCCAAGTGGCCTCACTTTCTTTACCGGAGACTAATCAAGGAGAAGCAGCAAGACAGGGGTGAGAACTGGTGCTATGTGCCCATCTCAGCTGAGCCCAGGACCTGGCTTGGGCTCTCATCTGGCCTCCGAGAAGTGGGGGGATTCTTGGCCAATGCAAGAACTCAGGTATATGTCAGCACCTAGAAATTTGTCTTGGGCATGATGGGGTAGGTTTTGATATATTTTCTTTTAAAAGTCAGTGGCTTAAAATAGCAAAGTTTGATCTTCCTGTCTGCCACACGTTCTGACTTTCATCAGCTGGGAGTTCCAGCCCTTGTCATACTGACTCGGGAACTCTATATTTCTTTGGTTATTGAAGCAGCAAAAGTGGAATGTGGTGAATCATGCACTAGTTCTGAAAGTTTCTGCTGGCTATGACACAGGTTATTTCTCTTCACCTTTCACTAGCCACAGAAAGCCACATGGATATGTGTAATTTCTTATAGAAGGAAAGTCATTCCATTGCCATGGAAGGCAGAAGGTGGAAACTATTTGAAAAGTAACACAAATTGTAAGCTTAGGGTAAAGAATATACAAAGCAATCCCAAGGGCCTGGCACACGGAGGACTTCACAGGCAAGAACTTCCTTATCATAGTCTGACCTTGGGCACCTTAGCACGGCAGCAGTGCCCACACAGTTCACATTTATGGGGCACTCACCATGTGCTGGACACTATTCTACATGTCTTGTTATGTGTTCAATCCTTGAAACAAGTATATAAGATCTTGTTATTGGCATCACCTTTTACAGAGGAGAAAACAGAGCCAGAAGTAGTAGAGTGACTTCTCTCTGGTAGATGGTTCATAATTGCCAGAGCTGGGATACACAAGCCAGTAGCTTGCTCTAGGGTGCTGCTCCACTGTTATATGCTGGGCACATTGCTGAAGAATTGAGCTGCCAGCATCCCTTTCAATAGCAGCTAATGCCATAGCATGTTCTTGAATTTTTACCCTCAATTAATGGAAAGCGAAGGGACATTTACATTTATGGCAGGGATATGATTTCATTTTAAAGCACATTTGCTTAAGTAAAATGTGAGCTGATAGGTTAAAACAGAAAATAAGCAGTGTGGGTTGTAGGCAGACAGCCCCAAAACAGTGCCCCTGGTAGGGCAAAGACTGGAATTTGGAAAAGTATTCAGGAAGGGTGAGTTTGTAGGGCAGCGAGCTGGACACACAGTAGATGGTAAGAAGTTCTCCTCTTGTGAACATGCACAACAAGAATACCCTCATCCTCGCCACGACACAGTACCATCTTCCTGGAACCTGAGAAGCTATAAATGTCAGATAAAATGAACCTGGGAGGAAGAGGTGAGGTGAAATAAAGAAGATGTTTGATTAGAGGAGAAGGAAGCTCCGATCAGCGTGCCAAGCTGTGTGACCTGGGTGAATTTTCTAGTGGCCCATTGCCTCTGGGTCATGATCCACAGCGGGAGGCCAGAAGACTTATCTCACAAGCTCTCCAGGTCATTAAGTCATATAAGGGGAAGTATTGCTTGACTCACTTTGCCTTTAAGAAGATCAAGCTTTCTCCCCAAAGATTTTTAAGGAAACTACCATGAGCTGGGTGTTTGGAGGGTGGCCTCAGCTTTTGCCTTGAAACCCTCAATCAAGGAAGAAATTACACCAAGAACAAAACATGCAGCTTGCATTTACTGCCAACTCACCAGAGAGCGGGTGACTCGATTAAGTGTCCTACGTGTAGAATTCCATTTCTTCCACAGTTCTGAGATGATTGTTCATTGTTATTCCCATTTTCCAGGTGAGAATCTTGAGACTTGGATAACAATTTTACATAAGGTTATGGAAAGCATGAATGGCAAAACCAAGACTCAAACTCACACCTGTTTTCTTCTTAGACGTTGTCCAGGTAAATAGAGGTGAGACGGATTTCAGCAAGGAATCTAGAACTGCAATAAAAGCACTTTGGCAGTCAGTCCCATGTCCACCAGGGCACTCTGTGAGCGCTCTCGATTGTGGGCAAAAAGGGAAACTTGTTGAAGCTTATCATTCCTGCTGCCTTATTTCCAAGGTTAAATTTTTCCCATGGGCACTAGAAGTTCTTCAGTACAAGCATAATTAGCACCTTTGGTTGTTTTAGCAAGGCTTCCCAAAGTGTTAATGTGTATAAGAATTACCACAGCAGTCTTGTGAAAATGCAGTTTCCACCTCAGTAAGTCTGAGTGGGGCCCAAGCTGCATTTCTAGTCAGCCTTCATTCTCTCTGCTGCTGTCCACAGACCGAGTTTGAATAACATGGCATTAAAGCCCCTAGGCCCTGCAAGGGTTGAGGGCTTTTCCCCACATCCCTTGCAAAGTGCAGCCTCCTGCAGGAGGAGCAAGCAGGGCTGGAGGCCTCAGGTCAGAGATGAAGAGCCAAATGGGAGCCTGCTGGTTCTTCGGTCTGCACCAGCAATCAGCCACAGGAGAGCTGGTCAAAGGTGCCATTAACATTTACAAGTCACTGCCATAGCCCTCCTTGGGCAATCAAGGCCACAGAAAAGTGGTTGCTATTGAGGCTAATGAAAAGCATGTAAAATGTGCATTTAAACAGCACTTAGTCAGAGGGTGAAAGCTCTTTTAGGGATGGGCAGTCTCTGTTCTTTGGTGGTAGACTTTTTGCTTATTTAGTTGTTTCCTTATCTAGCTGTCCAGGTGCTGGGCTGGGGCACACTGTGCAGGGAAGGGGCATCAGCCCTTCCTTGGGTTATCTCATTTAACCCCTACTCAGACACATAGATGAGGATGCTGAACCTGATCCTCAGACCAGTCAACCAAGGAATGACTCAGATTCAGTTTGGGCCTGTGACTCAAATTCCCATCTGAAAATAAATTTTAGGATCCAGATGGGGCATCTGTGTATTACCTGAAGTTGCATACAAAGCTGTGTTTGTAGATGCCTTTTGGGGAGTCAAGAGAACAATTATCTTTTGTCATTTTCTCAAAGACCCCTGTGATTCTCCCAAAAGATATCAGCTCCTTGGCCAGGTAGCACACGTGAGAGAGAAGTCCCTGAGCCTGTGATTCTCAGTCTGAGGCACAGCAACCAGATTTTAATGTCAAAGTCCCCAAGAGAGTGAGATTTCAGGGTCCACCACCGAAGAAAACAGATAATAATGAAAAGGACTCTTTATTCGGGTCTACTTTCAAATAACCTTGTTTTCTATTCATCATAGCAGCATCTGCTTGCACTTGGTAGATAGGAATGTCTCTGCCGAATATTCATTAGTCTATAGAATGTCTGATATGAAAAAGATTTGAAGAGCCTCTTGCAATAATTAGGAGGGAGAATTCAGGGGTGGATCTAAGTTTGGACAAGTGGAATTGAATAGGACACTTACCTTCTCAGATGTAACAAAAATGGGAAGCAAAGTGAACTGGCCTCAGAGGGGACACGGCTCTCAGCAGGAAGCCACAGTGGATTAGAAACTGTATACTTTCTGCTGGTGTGGAATAAACAAAGCCACGTGCTCCGGGCTTCTGGGACATCCTTAACTTTACATCAGGGGTCCCTCAGTCTCCCTGTATTTTGGTCTGATCTGGACAAAAGCCGGCTATCTCAGCAAAGGCTAAGTTGGAGCAGCAAGACCTACGTCGGGATCAGTGGCATATACTCATGTGTCCAGATAGGACTGGGTTGGCAGAGTTCTCCAGAATCCCAACAGGAGAAACAGTGATGCAGGGTGGACCTTCTACCTCCCACACTTAGAGCATGAAGTGTCCCTGTGATGCGCCTCAATGGCCCTTCCAGGACATGAATTCCGTGGTGAGAGAGGCCTAAAAAGCATCAATCCCTGACCGTCATGACGTCCTCCAAAGCCCCCTTCAAATGTTACCTTCTCCGTGAAGAATGTCTCCACTCTCCCCCATTTTATTCATCCCCTTCAAACATTTACAGAAAGCATAGAGTTCATACCAGCTTTGTATGAAAAATGAGGAAAATAGTCCCATTTCTCCCCAGAAAGTCCCGGGGGCCAAATTAGTGCAGGATAAGACCTTATAGACAACTAGACCTCTCCTTCTGCAATACAGGAAATGGAGGTTGTGACTTTCTAGGAGGCATAGGCAGTGTGTGGCAAGGCTGAGCTCCCAGCCCTTAATCCAAAGCTCAAGCCACAGTGTAGCTTCAGTAAGCAGCTGGAGGACAGAGTTCCTGTCTCCATTATAAAAAATAACTTATGGTTATGATCTAGAACATAAGATCTATGTGGAGCCAGAGACCTGGGTGCAGACTGCAGTAGTGTAACTGTTAGCCAGTCAACTCAGCTTGCCAATCTATATGTGCCTCAGTTTACCAAACTATAACATGGAGACAAGATTACTACTTAGCTCATAAAGAATGCTAATAGATTGTAGAAATGATGGACACTCTATCACTAATTTAGCATTTTCAAGGTGCTGACCTCTTCACATTATCTCATTTAATCTTGAGGTTTTGAATATTTAGGTAGGAGCAGCTGTGATTTGAATGAAGTTAGTCTAGACCTAAACCCCCAGGAAGGTATGCCTGCCACACTGCTTCATTCTGTCCATCTGTGGAAATATACAGGAGAGCCACATAAGTACTTGTTCATTTAAATTGGCCCAAGTCCTAACCCCATACACATATTTGGAAATGAAACAAGATCAGCTGGAGGTCTTCTCTGGGCCTTGGCTTGATGCACACACTGGGGCTGTGGAATAACTTTGTGCTGTTGACAGAAGCAGGGAATAGCGCCTGATCATACAAATGCTGACCCTTGGCAGGTAGATGGCATGGCCATGTTTTCCCTTCTCTATGCTCAGCTGTAAGAGCAGCGATAGCTGCCTTGTCAACCTTTCAGAGCTGACAGTGAGTATCAAGTGACATCACTTATACAACAGTGCCAGGTGCTGCAGTTAAGTGTTTTTCATCATTGATATTACAATCATAGTAACAGGTAGAAAAGCCTCCAAGGTACTCCAAAGCAATTTTATTTTCGAGAAGATGGTACATTTAAAGAGCCAGGGGGAAGGAGGAGCCAGGGCTATGGGACGATTTATTTTCTCCAGTGGAAATTTAAAAGTAACTGACTCCCGGCCTTAAGGCCACTGAGGGGGAAAAAAGCATGGCAGATAAACTTGATGCATTCCTAGGTAAATGGGTACAGCTTGACAACATAATGTTAAGTGAAGTCAGACAAACTCAAATATCACATGGTTTCTCTTTTATGAGAAACTCAAAGAGTGTAAATGCAAGTGAGAAGCAAAATGGAAGATAGATAAATAGGAAGTAGGGAGAAGTTCAGATGGTTCCCCAAATTACCTATTCCATTGTTTAAAAAAATTTTAATCTATATGCTAGTTCATTTATACTACTAGTTTCTCTTAGTTCACTGAAGGGAAAGTTTTGTGCCATTATCTGTTTGTTTCTTTTTGTAAGTCCTTTTTTGTCTATGTTTTGTACTCCATATAACTACTTTTAAGATTATCATACAGTGCATTAACTATTGTTATTCTCTTATTATTTTGCTATAAAATTTTGTTTTATCTTCCCAATAAAATATTTTTAAAAGGCAACCCCCCAAAAAATCACGGCTGGCCCAAAGTCATCTTGTAAAATGATGCAAAGGGGATTTAAAGATGCTGTTTAATAACATTTAACCCCCTCCCCCTGAAAAAAAAAAGTGACCCAGTTTCACAATACAATTTGTAGCCTAGCAGCAGAGGGAAGAGAGAAGCCTCGTTAAACAAATGCAGAAAACCTGTCAAAGGATCTGCATGAACTAGGAAGGCTCCATCAGAAGCCCATTCAGATGCTCTGAATTGGATTTGTACAGCTCGAGGGGTGGAAGAGGTCAGTGAATGATTTACACAATCTATACAACGTGCAGGTCTGCTTTTTCAGGCCAACTGAGCAAGTTGCTCCAAACAGGTCCATCTTTCAAGCTACAAGGATGGGAAGCTGAGTCCACGCCAGCACTGACCTCCCAGGGCACCCCTACGTTCCCTAAATTGGGCAAGCCACCCAGCTTCGGGAAATCATGCTGCAGAGATTGTTAGTCACCCCCTCCCTTGAAAGTCTTCCCCTAAGAATCAAACCACAGTGTCCTTTTGGGGGCTCATTGAGTAAGCAATGACCCATTCTTGATCACTCATTTTCCAAGCCGCACCTATGGATCAGAGCAAGCCAATCTGTATCTTTCTCACATCTCTGTTTCCAAGTGGAGCTCTCACTGGAATTAAAGAAGCTGTAATTAAAGTACCTTGTCTGAGAATGCTGAGATCACTTCCAAGTTGAGTATGCCATCAAATGCAATCCAAATGGAAACACCCAGCCTTTAGGTGCTAATCCCCTGGTGGGTTCTAGGAGCTGAGACCTTCCTGCCTTTCGTAGGACCCTGTCACCCCTGGTGACTCCTGGTGAGGCAGACACTGGCTCCACCCCATGAGGGTAAGCCAGAAGCAATGACACAGACTTCAAGAGACTAAGATAGGTTTCTCCAAGTGGCTATAAGACACTAACAAAGAGGGCAGGAAAACCGTACTGAGAGGGCAAAGGACAGTGTCTTCATCAGCTGAGGGGATAACAGCCTGTTGCACAAAAAGCTTCCTTGATTTTGGTAAAATGAATTTCTTCTGCTAGTGGACACTTCATAGTGGTTCTGATCACAAACTCTTTACTACTTGCTTACTGGTGACTTACTGGGTAACTTACTTAACCTCTCTGTGCCTCAGTTTCCCTATCTGTCAAGTGAATGTCATAATAGAACCTACCTACAGGACTATTGAGATTACAGACATACATACAGATATACATACAGACAGAGAGATAATATAGTCCCTGAGTAGTGTCTGACAGAACAGGTCCTATACAGAATATTTTCTCTTTGTTATTACTACATATTTAAAAAGCACTTTATTCTCAACATGAAAAGGTATTAAAGAGATTTTCCCTGATAATTCTGCTTTTTATTGCCCTCATCCATGACTCCTTAGGTTATCAGATGAAATACAAGATGCTCAGTTAAACTTGAAGTTCAGATTAAAAATGAATCATTTTTAGTACAAGTATAGCCCATGGACTTTTGAAGACATACTTATACTAAAAATGTGATTTCTCTGAAATTCAAATATAACTGGTCAGCTTATGTTTTCATTTGCTTGCTAAATCTGGCAACTCAGCCCCTTCATTACCCTGCTAGCAATTCCAGTTAGTGAAAAATGCCTTTGCTACCAACTTGCCTTGACGAATTTTCTAGCAATCACATATTCCTTACTGGAATGTAAGTTCCTGAGAGCTGGGATCATGTTCCTCTTCTTTCTAGCTATATTCCCAGGGGCTAGCAGAGGACCTGGCCCATGGTGGTTGCTTAACACAAAGGAGTTGCTACAAAGTTAGGACAAAGGAGCCTTTGCCTTCCTTTCTCAAAGGCGACTTTGTAAAACCCCTTTCAGCCTTGAAGTCTAGGCAGGTCTGGGTACTCTGCATTTGCATGTTGGGGACCTTGGCCCTCCTCAAAGTTCAGATTTCTCTACCAGAGTAGGGGTGTCAGGGTAGGTTTAGGAAATGTGTGATATTTTTTCTCTGAACTGTGAACAATCAGTTCTCTGCATTCTAATTCTGTCATAACCCTAGGCTTCACCAGCTACAAGAATCGAGCTTGCCTTATGCTAACACTATTTCATTTACCATTATGGAGCTGAATGAGGGGAGACCATTACACTGAGCATTATGTTTTATTAGCTTTTTTTTTTTTCCTGAGGTCTATGACTCTGCATAACATGATGAATAAAAATGACCTAAATTTCACTTCCTGAGACATTTTCAGGCTGTACTTGCTCAGCTGCCTGATCCTGGTTGTGACTGTGGTAAAGCACGTCAGACTCCAAGTTTTCCCTTCTAAAGCATCTGTACAGGGATGGCTTTAATTTAATTTCATCTGAATCTCTCCGCAATTGGTAATAAACTCCAATCTCTTATAAAATGAAAAATCAATCAATTCATGATTTGGGGGCTAAAATAACGTAGATATTGAGACCTTGAACCAGAGCCTGCCCTATGGCTGAAATCTTCAGTATTTGCCACAGTGTTAAAAAGTGATGCTCTTCAGCATGGTTGAGATTGTTCATAGTCCCTTCTGATTGGGAGCATCATCTTTAATATGTCAGATGTACCACACTTAGAGAGAAATAGCTCTCTCTCTCTCTCTCTGCTGTGGAATTGATTTTGAAATTGAATGGGTGGTTATCCAAGCAGCACTGTCAAATGGAACCTGGCTTGTGAGGGACAGGAGGCTTGTGTGGCAGAGGAGGTCCTGCTGTCTTGCCTGTTACATTTGGCAATTCAAGTACTTCATTTTCCACATAAATGTTAGCTGTTTAGCCCGCAGGCTTCTACAATATTTTAAAAGAGAAGGAAATAGAACAATAAAAGAAACGGACTTGCCTAGGTGCCACTGGATGAGTTTTCACCAGTTTCTTCAAAGGGGACAGCTGATGTGAACTGTGCCCCATGCCCCCTTGTCTTTGTGTCACAGGAAGGAATTCTGCAGTCCACTTGCAGCCATGTTTAGGAGATGCGAATACTGCTTTGGAGCTCCCAGCAGTTTATTTCAAACTACCCATGGGCTTTTTCCCTTTAAGATTAAATATCTCATCAGGAAGGAAAAAAAACAGCTATGCACATAAGTATGTTAATTAACATTAGCAATATTAGCAAGAAGATACAGGAAGCAACCCCCCCCCATGTGCAACACTGTGGAAACTATTAAGTAAATTATGGTGAAAGAACTATGATTAAAGATAATATATTCACTAAAATGATAGTTAGGAAGAGTTTGTGGACACATGGAAAGTGAAAAAATTGACATATCAAGTGAGAGAACACTTACCAAATGATGTGTGCATTTTGACCACAACTATATCAGTTTAACTGTGTGGATGGATACAAGCTAGAAGAGGGAAACAAAAGATTAAAATAATAGTTAGAGTTAATTACATTAAAGGCAATTATTATTTAAAATTCGTTTTGAAAAGCTAAAAACTTTTTCTTAAATAATAGTATAAGCTTACATTACAACTTGTAGATTCACTTAAATAGCTCCTTAGAAGCATCAAGTTGAAACTATTCAGAGAGCAACTGCCAAAAGGGAAAAAGAACGTCACCCTATTTGGGGATGAGCAGGCCTCAGATATGACCTGTGATAAGCTCCTTGCCTAGTGACAGGGAGCCAAAGCCCAGAAAAACTGGGGGCACAGGGAGAGCAGCAGGGTTCCCAGTAGGTAAGTCATGGAGATGTCTCTCAGGGATGGGGAATTACCAGGCTCCCTTGTCAGGGCTCATATAGCCAATGAAGAAACCATATAAGGACCTGATCACCACTGGGCTCAGCAGTCCCTTCTTGGAATCATGTGCCTAGATGAGGTCGCATTGCCCTTCCTTTGACTGTGGAGTGGTCCTTTCTCTGCACCATTCCAGGCCAGGTTGCCTATTTGTCAGCCTTCTCTCCACTCAACCTTGACCCATAGCTGAATCCCTGCAACTGTATGATCTGCTCTGTTCCTAGAAAGCCTTCTCTCTTCTCCTTTGTCAGTGCACTGTGCTCATGCCCTGGGCCCCTGATGATACACAATTCCTCTGGGACCACTACATTTTGCTCTCAACGAGGTCTAACCATAATCATACTGGCTACTACACCACCATGAACAGAGCCCAGCGACTACAACAATCCAGACCCAAGGGGCTGTGATACCCTGGAATGGAGCTGACAGATTCCAGCCTCTTTGTGCACAGTGAGCAAAGAATTACAAAGTGTACATACAGTGGTAAAAGAAAAAGGAACTATATTTATTGAAGAATGCAGAAGATGTGTTCAGGGAAAGCCTATGCCAACAAAAATGTGGCATGAAAAGAAAAGTGGTGTCAGGATGACAGGAAAGTAAAAGGCACTGCACACAGATAAACCAGGCTTTCAGATTTTAGAAAACATGCATCCCAGCCTGGGAGCTTCTCACTGGGTCTCTGGGTAAGATTGACAGGGCATTGAGTCATCTCTCAGGCTTTCTAGTGGTGCACAGGACTTTCCCAAGTTTCCTTCTGATTAAATTACATGTATGAGATGTAGTTCATATTCATGAACCTTTAGTAGTTTTTTTTTCTTTCTTTCTTTCTTTTTTTTTTTTTTTTTGGTACCAGGGATCAAACTCAGGACCTTGCACTTGTGAGGCAGGTGCCCGAACCACTGAGCTAAATCCCC